GTAGCATGCCATGTAACTTTAAAAACAAATTTTTTCTTAAGAAATTATTTAAGAAGTGTCTAAAAACTTAGATACTTGGTTTATAAGTCTCAAAGTCTTAGAAAGCTTTTATGTGATCTTTTTATTGGTCATTATATATAAAATGCAAGAATAAATTTATCTTTAATCTTATGACTGGTCTTCATATAAGAATAATAATTTATTCTAACTTAGCAAAGTTATTGAATATTTTTCTACTAAATAATATACTTATTTTTAGTCATTTCTATATCTTCTTAGTTGTGTATAAATATATTGCCTTTTTACAAGTTTATCTTGATTCATGTCCATGATATTTTAATAAGACTAAAAATATAATTTTAATTTTAATTTTTTTATAAATATAAAACTACTTATTTTCTTTAGAAACATCAAATTTTTCTTTAAATTTTAGATTAATCTTCTTTATATTAATATCCTTGTATTTTTATTTTTTTCTTCTTATTTTTATTTTATTATTAAAATTAATATTTTTTTAGTTTTTTATTAATTAATAAAAAAAGATAATTCTATTGTATAAAAACTAAAAATTAAAAATAATCAATGTATGCAATTCATCAAATTTGCTCACTACCACAAGTTTTTAATGTTTAGAGTAATTTTTTATTAGATTAAATAAAAAATGACAACAATTCCATTTGTAGTTATTTACTTTGAGTATTTTTTACTTATTTTTAATTATTATAGAAACGTAACAACGTCTATTGACGAAATGATTAATTTTTTATATAATATTTTAATAATATAAATATCAAATATTATAAATATATCAATTACATACACATATTAATTAAACTCTAAGTAGAAAACTATTCAACTTCAATATCTTTAGTAAAATTCATTAAAATATTATTCAATAAAAACTAAACTTATCAAAGTTAATAAATAAATATCAAAGTTAATTTTAATATATTATATTATATTAGATAATATTATTTTAATAAATAAATAAATATCAAAGTTTAAATAATTATATTAAATAATAATTAATAAATAAATAAATAATAATAATAATAATAATAATAATATCAACAAAACTTCAAAACAAATTCCTCGACTACTTTAAAGACCAAAAAATTGTTTATCATGCAGTACTATCTTATCAAAATTGCATATTGTACTCTAATTCTTTTCTTATCTTTTATAATACAAGTTTGTTTAGAATATATATAAAAAAAAAAAAAAAAAAAAAAAAAAAAAAAAAACCATATATTTTTGCATTCTTTTATAAGATTTTATATATTTTTTTAATTGCTCAATTTTTTTTTTTAATATTTCATGATATCTGAATATAATGTAAACATTTTTTTTGAATATTGTCTTTAAATTTGTTTTACTAACCTTCAAGAAGAAGTTCAATGCCATTTGGACCAATTTACAACTTATGACAAAAAATAGCTACCTTCAAGAAATATATTAATAAAATTAATTACTTAATATTAAAATTTATATGTAGGTACATCAATTTTTTGTTGTAAAAAAAAAACAAAAAACAAAACAAAAAACAAAAAAAAAACAAAACAAAACAAAAACAAACAAAGAAACAAATCTTTACAAATGCTTAGTTAACTATCAAAAATTCTGATTTTTTTACATTTGAATTTTAACTCCTCAAATAATTAAACTTGTCGACTAATTGTCCCCAGATACGATTTATATTTAAATACATATGTAAGAATAATATAATCTAATACAAATTAATAAAAGAAATAAATAAATGGCTACATTTTAAAATAGTCGTAACAATTTCAATACAGTTTTTTACTGTTTATTCTTACAAATGCTGGGATTTCTTTTTAAATGTTCGTGAATGTTATAATTATCAATTTATAGCTAATCCTATTGTTTTTTATTTATAAATTATTCTTTAATTTTCTAAGAATATAATAGAACACAGAAAATATGTTTATAATGTATTATAAATATTTAATGATGGAAGGTTATATTGTAAGATAGGAAATTATAAAATTCATACAATTTTAATAGAATTTTTAGAATATATTATTTCAAATGATAATTTAAAGATATGCCATAAGAAAGTAGTAATTACCATAGATTATAATTATATAAAGGTTTTGTAAGATTATTCTACCAGTTCAAGCATTGGACTTGACACATTAGAATTTATTTATAAAATTCAACTATAGAGAATCCTGGTGCTATGTTGTGGTTATAAATATTATGGATCTGTGAACTGATATATGCAAAGACCATAAGGATTGTTCTGGAACCATATCATAAATTCATTACATAATTTAATAAATCCTATAACCTTCATATGCACTTTTAGAGTTTAGTGTAAGATTCATTCTAAAAAGTTTTGCTTTACCATTAAATTAAAGAAATTATATTGTAATATATTTATTTTTCATATTTATTTTATGTTGTAATGAATTAATAAATTCTTTCTTTAACAAATTTAATTAAAAAAAAGATAAAATATTATAACTTGTATTAGTTCAGTCAATAAAATTTATTAAATACTATTGATTATATTGATTAAAGTTATACAAGTTTTAAGATTTTTATCTTTTTTGTTAATAGATTATAAAAAATCTATCTAAATCTCTTTTTTTAATATTTTTATTAATTAGACGTTTATACATGTATTTTATTATTGTTATTATTATTATTATTATATGTAACAACTTATAAGAAAATCAAGCATCTCTAAAATCTCTAGATACTTTGACATTTTTTCATTTTTTTGTCATTTTCTTTTTAATGATTTGTAATTGTTGCTCACACCTCCAAATGAAATATTTTTTAGCATTATACAATTTGAAATAAATATCCGAAAAAAAAGTAAAGAATAAAAAGTAAAAAATTGTAAAAGAATAACATGAAAATAAGATATATGAATATATAGATGTAAAATAATATTATACTTGAGTACTTAAACAAATATAATCTTTTACAAATACCAAAATCACTCTTAGGAATTTGTTGCATTTTTTAAATGTATTTTTAGCAATAATTGATTGACCTAATCACATATATTTAAGTAAAATAATCTTTGGAATTTTTAGAATGAATAATTAGTTAATTAATTAATCATGCAAATTTATTTTTTTTGTTTTTAAATAATTACTCTTAATATTTACATTGACTTCTTAGTATTATAGAATCATTTTTAAGGATATATATATATATATATATATATATATATTTAATTTATATATTGATGCTTGTAAAAAATTAAAATGATACAAGTATAAAGTTAAATATCTAATTACATTAAATGAATTCATTAAAAATGATTACTGGATAAAACAATCCTTGTACTAATTATACATGTTATCGAAAATTTATTTTGCATTATGTCTACAATGTTTTAGAATTAGAAGACATTAAATATTAAACAAAATTCGTAGATTTTTTTGTTAGAAAAGATAGAAGTGGCTTCTCAAATATCAACTTTAAAACTCTAAGTAAAAACCTTCTGCACCTCACTAGATTTTTTAATAATATTTCAGTACTTATAATTTTGAAGTCTTTATTTTTATTTTGCACATTCTTAGATAATTATTGTTATGAGATAATTTCCTTAAGTAGCTTAAGCAAGTGCAGTTTTTAGAAGTATTAAAAAAATTATATAATATAAAAATTATATATATATATATATATATAGATATATATTGAAACCTTAAAAAAAGTAGAAAAAAAAATCAGTTCCAGTTTTTTAATATTTCAAATAGAAGAAAAAGTTAGTCTAATTTTAAGTTTTATCAATCTATTTTTTAAAACTTAAATATTACATACTTTGGTGCCATTCTGCCTATTTATAGATAAAATTATCTAAATTGATATCTAAGATGGGTAATCTTTGCTGCTTCTTTATTTTATCCTCTTTGTAAGAAATTATCCATACAAATTTAAGATATCAAATTGTATCTTTGATATTTAATTACACATTACAAAATTGATCTTTTCTAATTTTTCAATCTTCGATAATATGCTCAAACAGGTTTATTTTCTCTCTCTCTCTCTCTGAAGTTACAGTATTGGAGATGTAGCCTATTCGTATACAATTTTGCAAATTGATGCAACACTTAATAATAGTGAGTAAAAAATAATAATAAATAAAAAACCATTTTAAAAAAAAACTATAATTTCATAATAAAATTTTGTTTTTTTTTAACTCCTATTTATTTATTTTAAAACTTTACAATGTATCTCATTTGAATTCGAAATATATCAATTCAACCTAATAAACATCAGCATTATTATTTTAAACTTAAATGCAAATATTATAATGTAAGCCACATAAAACCTATATTTTTTTTTTAATATATTTTTTTAGATTTTATTAAGAATACTTAAAATTACGATTTTTATTTTTATTTTTTAAATTACAATATATTCAGTATTGTAACATTGTTCAGATTTTCTAAAACTAATAACATATGACAGCTCAATAACTCACATGCTTACATCAAGTAAATGCAATTCAACACTATAGCCAAATACAACAATATATACATTTAGATTTACTTTTGGATGTTGCTAATGCCACTACACTTTTTGTTATTGCCACCGCAACTTGCCACCCCCTTGACATATTTCTTTTGCTTCATTTATTTATTTATTTCAATTAAGTATATATATATATATCATTTGTTTGCCCAACAAATGCCACACCATGCCTTCAATCCCCCACATCAATACATCACTGAAATGAAAACTAGGAATAGGGGGATTGGGATGAGAACTAGGATTGGGTCAATTTAGTAAATGAGTGGATCATTTTAACATTCCTTTATATATTTATATTTACAGCCAAAATAAAAAATAAATAAAACAGTAAAAAAATTAACTAAAATCTGAATAAAATTTTCATAAAATTGTGGTGGCATTAGCAATACCATTATTCCATACTCTGAACAAACCATCGAAAATCTTCGAGAGACGTTGGACGCAATCCCTCACCAACGGAAAGTGTACCCTCTTCCTAGATACAGAAGCACCGTAAGCGAGCTCTGGTTCGCAGCGCCTCTCACGAAACCCTAATTCCGGAATGGCCTCGGTTGCTGCCATCGCAATGGTGAGCCTTCGCGGAGAAAATCAATGACGCGCAGTTCGGTGTCGATTGCCGCAGATTTTCACCCACATTGGCAAGCAATCTTTGCGTGGGTTCTTGTCAGTGATCGCACCAACTGGAGCTGCCTGGCGTTGCAGGTTTTGGGAAGATTGATTGCGTCTCCCTGTGCTGAGGTATAGTCGGGATTGGGAGACGAGAGTGAAAAGCTCGAGCCACCGTCCGGATTGGGTTTTTTTTGCATTGCAGCCTTGGGCGAGCAATCATGGCGGAGGAAGACGATATGCCCCGCGATGCTAAGACGGTGAAGACCATCTTGGAATCCATGGGCGTGACGCGCTTTGAGCCGCGGGTCATCAACCAATTTCTGGATTTGTGGTACCGCTACGTCGTGGACGTGCTTGGCGATGCGCAGACGTACGCCGAGCATGCGGGGAAGGCCGCCATCGATTGTGACGACGTGAAGCTGGCTATCCAGTCGCGAGTGAATTCCTCGTTTCAGCAGCCTCCTCCTCGGGAGGTATGGTTATGGTTTTTGGCATGGTCGAGTCTGTTGCTTTTTCTATGATGCGAAGTGTGTTCCAGGTTTAGGGGAAGGATGGTGGGTACGGACTAAGTCATTTCCTTGTGAGCTTCAATTTGGCAGGACCAGTTCTGCAAATTGGGTTGGGGTTGGCATTGTAGGCGACGGAGAAGAGGGTTTGAAGATTTTAATTTTGCCAGAATCCTTTGCTATTGAAGTATAGTTTGCATTTGTCTTGAATTAAGTCACTCCTTACGCAAAGAAAACTTAGCTCGTTCGTGAGGGCTGCTGCACAGGAGTGGACTTACTGAACGGTTCGTTATAAATGAGAGCAGAATTAGGGTTTCGGATGGTTTAGCTGGTGTCTAATGGAAGGAAAAAAATTGCGCCGTAGTGATGGCTTCATATTAACCACCGAGCACGCCATGGCTGTCTGTTCTGGCAGTTGTTGGTGGACTTAGCGAAAGCCCGGAACAGTATTCCTCTGCCGAAGATCATAGGCACGCACGGCATTTCTCTTCCTCCTGAAGCAGATACCCTAATTTATCCGAATTACCAGCTGAACGTACCGACACGAACGACTTTTCGCGATATGGACGATGACATTGAATGGGAAGACGATGACGACAAGGAGGATGGTGGAAAGGAGGTGGTCCAACCCACCCACTTACAGGATAGTGGCCGAAAGGTGTCCTTCTCCATTACGGGGAAAGATTCTAAGCCGTAGCGGTGTGCTTTACTTCACAAGGCATTTATAGCTCTTGTATGAAGAAATTGCAGGATAAAAATGTCTGGAATAGGAGTTGGCAACCAGCTCTCGATGGCTCCGATTTTAGCATAGATGAGCAGCTTTCTAGGACTGGTTGAAACTTGTAGATAGCAACTATCCAGCAGCTTTATTTTGGGTGGGATATCTTCGGACATAGTTAAGAGCTGGTGTATATTTTCATTTTAGAACTAAGGCTCATTCAGTGTGATGTTGGAAGCGTTACTGGTATTATAATACAAGCACAATTAGTGCTTGTTCATGTACTTTACTATTGCGTTGATGGGGTCCAATGTGTATCAAGTTGAAGAAGTGGAGTCTATCAAGAGCAGGGATTTATGTTGTACTAATCCTTCCATGATTCCAAACCCTGCTTGGAAATGATTGTTTTCGAAAAATTTGACGCAAGTGAGTTTGATAGGTAGCGATGTGTGGCTATGTCTATATTGTTTTTAGTGGCGTGAAACACCCGCGTGCTGCAGTTTCATAGACGTAGCCCTCTTTGTAAATAGTTCCCCCAACTATTTTCACGTTCATTTACGTGAGTCGGATCATGTGTTCCGACTGCGGAAAGTGTAGAGTTTAGGAAAGATCAGTCGGGTTCTCAATAAAAAAAATTTTAAAAAAGTACTAAAGTGAGTCAAAAAAAGAGTAATCTTTGGTATACTGATGGGAACAGTTTCCGTCTATGTGGACAGACTACTCTGGAGTTTTGGCTGAGTGGAAGCTTGGCATCGATGGAGGAGGGTATTACGTCACAGGCTTCTCATCGGGACTGAGGATTCTTCAAAGCTTGCCAGGAGAAGGTAGGGTTGCAATCCTACATGCTTATCCAAGCTAAAGAATAACACGATTGACCGAAATGCAAAGTTCGTATGGATTTTTTCTTGGATATTTTGTGAATTGTCGTGTCTAAACGGGAATTGCTTGAGTGGATTCGTTTTTTTTTTGTATATGACTAAACTGTAATGGTTATTTATTAGAGAAATTCAATGGTTATTTAATAGATATTCAATGACAATACTGACAACATTTGGTTGAAATGGACTTTATAAACATTCTTTTAAAAAATACCTGTCGTGTAATGTCCTGAATTTTGCAATTGCATGATGAAAATAGACAAGAAGAAGAGTAATGCATGGCAATATAAATCTAAGTAATAATATATGTTTACATACAGACATTAATAATATATATATTGGTGTTAAGTTTTAGATTATAAGGTGGTGAAGACTTCAAGTCACAAAGACTCTTTCATAAATCTAAAACAACAATAATATAATGTAATCAAAGAAATAAATAAGTTCTTAATAACTTCACAATAAGCAGATGTCAACAAAGTGCCCAATTGCACTAGTTTTAAGGTTAAGACAATCATGATAAAATAATTGAATTAGTTGTAAGGCATTTTAAGACATCATTGAGCAGACTTTAGAAAGAAAGATCATTACACAAGAAAGAGAATCACTATTTTACTTCCATAATTTAATAAAGATACAAAAAGAATGTTGGATTTCTGTGGTTAGTATTTAAGTTTTATAATTAGTACTATATATATATATATATATATATATGATCAACAGATTTATATAAAAGTGCTTTGTTGATTAAATTTGTAACAAATTCTGCAAGCAGATGATTGAAAATTCTGTGTACATCATAAATCAAGCTAACTGATGAAATTGAATGATTATAGTCTTGTCATATGTTAGAAAACGCATGAACTTAAAGTGTTAATTGAATATTGAATTTGCACAAAAATGGAATAAATACATTTCGATGATGTACAACAAATTCCTAAGTTTAAAAGCATAATTAATGAAAGTAGTGACATTCAAATTTATTCTTAATATTTTTGGACTTTATCTAAATAAAATTGTACTTTTATTTTTATAACTATATAAATTTGATATCAAATTGATATTCTATTCTTCTAAAGTGTGTGTGTATATATATATATATATATATATGAATAAGGTGTATATAAATATATGGGATAATTTTCTAATTATTATCAATGCAACAACTCTAAAAACAGATTACATAATTATCAATAAAAAACAACCTTTAAATTTATAAATTTACCTTACAGTAAGAGTCATGTGACATTCAATCCATCTGGTTTTGTAAAAACACAAAAGTAATAGATATAAAATCAGGACATTGAATTATGTGCTGCAACATTTACATCAACATGCTATAAACAACAGTCAAACAAAAGAACATTGACCATTGAGCTAACATTGTGCATTTAAAATGATATAGCGAAACTAAGTAGATGATCAGATTAACTCATTTAAAATTTTGTAATACCCTTAATATATCCTAACAATGAAACCTTGCACTTGTCATTTTCAATATACACAAATAAGAAAAGAAAAAGGAAAAGTAACAACCAAAATGCTTTTCAAACGAAGGACCACCATCCTACAAACATGACCTAAAAGCGCATTACACACATGTTGCCCCAAAGACTTTTGAAGAAAAAAAAAAAAAAAAAAAAAAAAAAAACCTCTTCGGAAACGATAATAATAATAATAATAATAACAATAGTTAATCTCACAGACCCCAGAAACAGCGTTGCAGATGCATCATGTAGCGAACATGCCGTTTCTATCGCCCCCAGTGACATGGCATCCTCAATGATGACGCCACCAGTGCCGCTAAAGCTACACCCCAATTAGGTCATTGATCAGTCATCATGCCACATCAGCATTGCAGAATCTAAATTTACCAGGGTCAAACACACGTTGCACTGCAGAATGAATGGCAGAGATGCGGAATTATGGGTTTCAGCAGCATCGCTGAAATCCAGCCAGGAATGAATGGTATCCTCAAAAGATTGCTGGTTTGCATTGGAGGGAGGGGGAAAAGCACAGCACCATGATTCACTGGACATGGTTTGTCAGGGCCATGGAATTGTTACTACACTACATGAAGATTTGAAAACCTGAAGATTTGCAAACATGAAGATTTAAAAACATGGACATTTTCAAACTTGAAGATTTGCAAACATGAAGATTTGAAAACATGGAGATTTGAAAAAATGAAGATTTGCAAACCTGAAGATTTGCAAACATGAAGATTTGAAAACATGGAGATTTGAAAACATGAAGAATTTCAAACATAAAGATTTGCAAACATGAAGATTTGCAAACATGAAGACTTACTTCATGTTACTAAGCAGCGTTGCATTCTCTACACTACTACTACTCCTCTGCTTATCAATTGCAAGCCCCGTTGCCAGAAGAAGAGAGTAAGAGAAAGAGATTCATTGGGGGGTGAACCAGCAAGCACTGCTCGTAGCTCCCCTATCCTGCCATGTGAGTTCACTACTCGCGGTGCCTCACCACAACGGGGCTCTGGAATATGCCGGGCGGGATAGCGGGCGGATTCCACAGGAGAACCGGGTGGAATCATTGTCAACATCAACATCAAAACAGCACCAGTAGCAGCCATGGCTGCTGAGAGACCTCGCTCGCTGCGCTTCACTTCACCCGGGGCTGCGTTCAGACGAGGAGGAGGAGGAGGAGGAGGGGGAGCAGTGGTGAGCCGAGCTGCGCAGCGCCGAGGGAAGGGAAGGAGAGGGAAGTGGTAGTAGAGGGAGCACGGGGAGCGCGAGGGATGGGTGGGGGCGGAGGAGGATCCACGATCCTCGACGATCGTCGACGATCGTCGGAGCCAGCCACCCACCCACCCACCCAGGAGCATGCGCCGCGCCAAGTGGCGCCGCAGCAGTTGCAACACCCGCAGCGACGGTGGGTCGGATCCCGCGCTCTCTCTCTCTCGCTCTCTCCGTCTTCCTTCTCCACGCTCTCCCCCTTCATAACCAACACCACCTCCATTGCCGAAGGTTCTCTCGTCGGTTTCTCTCTCTCTCTCTCTCTCTCGCATCCCCGTTTTACATATTTTCCTGCAGTGAGAGTCGCTTACCCATTCCTACGCACGCGTGCAAGCACGCGCGTGCCCGCTCTTCGTTTCTGTCAGTCTGTCTGTCTGTCTGTCTGTGTCCCCGTTTCTCTATCTCTCCATCTGTGTGCGTGTGTGAGTGTGTGCGAGTAAGGTTCCCATTCATCGTGGGACTGTGTATGCATGCTTTGCTTGTTCTTGGCAGCACAGCGGTTCCAAGGAAGGGCGAGAGTGCACCGGTTTCTTGGAGGTTGGGTGGAGGGTGGAGTGGAGGGAATTGGGAGCAGGTCGGGACGACAAGAGCGTGGTGGGGGAGGTCGAGGCGCAGAGGTGGTGGTGCTGAGGCGTACCGACAATGGCAGCGCCAGCGGAGTCCGCGTATGGGTTGGGAGGCAATGAGCAGCTGAAAACCGCGAGCATCGACGAGGTCGTTCGGCAAGGACCCAAAGTTGTGACGGGGTTGTCGGCGGAGGAGGGCGTGGGAGTGGACGGGCAGAATGGGAGCGAGGCGGGCCCGGAAGGCAAAGAGGGCGAGGCCCATGGCGAGGAGCAAGTAGCGAAGAAGCCGAGACTGGAGAAGGAGGAGAACGGTGGCACAGAAGAGTCTGTGGAAGGTGTGGCGGCCAAGGAGGACGCGGAACACCACAACGGCAACGGCGTGGCGAAGGCGGAGGAGAGGAACGGCGAGGGAGACGAGGAGGAGCAGAACGACGACGAGGGCGACGTGGTGGGTGCGGAAGAGGAGGAGGAGGAGGAGGAAGGCACGGACGGTGCAGGAGCGACCGGGAAGGAGGAGGGTGGGGACGGGGGTCTTCGGACGCTGCTGCAAGAGGGCGAAGGCAAGAAGAGCAGCGTGGCGAAGAAGGGCGCGGACGCGAGTCACGTGTTGAACGGAGCGTAGGCGGAAGTGGAGTGGAGGGGTGGTTGGATTTTGTGCATCATCGTCGGGGGTTTTTTTTTTTTTTTTTCTTTTGATGTAAAGAGACATTTGTGTGAAGGGGGCATCGGGCCAGCAGTAGTGGCTATTTTCGAAGATGAGTGCAGTAGGTCCTTCTTGTATAACACGGGACGTCCCATGAATGAATCAATGTGTTCGTTGCCTACCGATTGCACCCAAGTCTGGCATGTACAATTGTGTTGCACCGATGTTGGGACTGAACATGCATCTATGTCTTTTATTCTGCAGTTGGTATGGTGGTGACATGCCTTCTCTCTTCGCTTACCGTCAGCTCCCAGATTTGACTTGAGGCGAAAAGAAGCTCTGTTGACGTCCGATCGTCAGCACGATGGCGAGTTCTTCGGAGTCCTGTGATCCTAACGTTATCGAGTCCCCTTATCTAGGATCGCTTCATTGTATCAAGT